GTGACCAAAATGCCAAACACAAAGAAAAGTCTGCTCTAAATAAAACACTTCAGCATACTTTAACCGCTCACACTAACAAACCCAGATGTTCCCCCAAATTGGACCCTCACCGAGTACACCATCTTTCTATTCCTGTTTTAACTGTGGTTTACTACTTGGAACTGAGAAGTGGTTCGTTCTGAAGAATGTAGTCTTAAATGGAGACTGTGCATTTTTTTAAGTGTACGTTTCTGTTTGGAAAGAAAAGCTTCAGTAAATGAGGTGAGTCACATAATGGAGAAGCACTTATCAAATGGCTAAATTGATTAGACCGCAGCACGAAAGAGCAACACAGCTGAAAATAGCCAAAATGCAGAGTAAATAGGAAACCTCTTTGGGCTGTTTGACATTGTGGTCTGCTTGTGGAGCCAGTTAATAAACCTAGGGGCTGGGAATGCGTTATCCAAACTCTGACCCCAGCTAAGTATAATTATTTGAACAATACAAATTGGAAAGAGACTTAATCTAAAATAGTTTTGCATGAGATAAAAAAGGATTCATAGTTCATAAAGCACGTCCTCTATAATGAATAGGCACTGCTTTCTCAAAAGCACTATAATCAGCAGCTTCAAGCTGCTCAGCAGCTTTTTCATTCAAAGATGGTGCTATTTAACCTACTTGGCAGCATGCTACTTTTAAGCATAGCAATCTAAAGACATTATTACCTTTATCTGCACCTTTCTTCTTTCCCATATGTCTGTACATCAGTTGTTTCAATCACTTCAAGCATTTTTAGAACAATATTTCCAGCATGTAATAAAATTGAGGAATCCCTCTATTAACTTGGTATGATTTCACAAATATATAGCTTATGTATAAAACAGTATTTATAGAAAATACAACATATTTTTCTACCTAGCCTTAACATGTCAAAGTTTTGTCATGCAACTGCATAGTAAAAAGGCATTTGCTTAAACATTTTAAGACAACCACTTAAAATGCACTCAACTTGGTATGTTTAAAACTGCATTCTACTCTCATTAACAATTTTATACCACTTTAACCCCATTAAATTCAGGACAGTTATTCCACTAGTATGAAGTGATGGTGCCCACCTTTTTTCAGCTTGAGTTTCAAGTTCCAGGCTGCTGAATGGTTCGTTCGCAGGATCAAGTTATTTTAGGAAGAGGAAAAAGCCAGTATGAACAAAAGACAATGAGAAAGTCAGGCACTCAGTCCACAGAAAACTGCTTCAGTTGCCCTATAACAGACAAAAGATAGGATTAGCAAAAGCTAAAGAAATTATCTGCAGCTGTACACCTTTCCCCAAGGTAGCATCTAAACCGCCTACAGGATATCCATTGAAACCATTTCTCACAGTTCCGAAAATCTGCAGTGGTTTCATGCTCTTACAGTCTTTTATTTCCTTCTTTACTTCTGATGTTGCAGTGACACAATCCTGCACTGAAATCAAGTGTCTGTTCTCACATAAGCAATGGCAACCTTTTCCTTGTTCCACGATGAGCTCTTTTATTCACAACAGCTATATCCTATAAAACAGTGCACCAAGTATTTCAACACCTGTTAAAGTTATTTTACCAGAGACAGACAAATTTATGGAAATGTTAGTCACAGAGAATAAGAAAAAAAAGTCTTGTCACATAGAATGTGACAAAGATACAATCTATATCATTGCATCCTACTGTGGTTTAAACTTTCCACAGTACAAAGAATTACAGTCCACACTGGAACAAGAATTCTTCTAGTTCCATTCACAGAATCACAGAATCACAGAATTTCTAGGTTGGAAGAGACCTCAAGATCATGGAGTCCAACCTCTGACCTAACACTAACAGTCCCCACTAAACCATATCCCTAAGCTCTACATCTAAACGTCTTTTTCAATAACATATGTCTCAGTACTCCATCCTCCTTGACAGATTGGTTGAGTCTACTTTACAATGGAGTTAAGCACTCAGTTCTTGATCTCGTGCATATGAATATCTATGGATACTAAACATTGTCTTTGTTCTAAATCAGGAGACACGATGACTTCAAGCTAATACTCAAAAGATCTCTCTGACCTCTGTACGAACAATTTCCTCTTTTACTTTCCCCCACTGCCTGCTGACACCAATGGATCTGAAGGCAAAGAAAGAAACATTTAAATATCACTTATTAGCAAGCATTCTGCAATCTGCTTTGACAAAAGGGCAGAGGTTAAGGGCCTAATGGTTGCTATATTTTCCCACTGCAAGAAACTAATTATTTATATTTTTTAAAAGCTTGTGTTTGTTTTCACATTGGTCAAAAGACAACAGTTCAGCCTGATACATGTGATCTGAAGAATCAAGAAGAAACAGACTGAAGAATCAAGCAGGTACCTTCCTTATTTAGAAAGTAAGAAATGGAACTTCTATGTTAAGTTTTGAATGAAAAACTGCTCTATCCAACAACCCTACATGGAAAGTCACTTGAATCTTCAAGTGGGTTTCAAAAGGATTAGTTACCTTTCCAGCTTTTATATTCATCTTTTTATTGCTCTCAGAATCACCATAAATCAACAGATGGATGTCATCAACGTATGCAGTATGTAAAATATCATAAAAACCTAGCTAATTTTGCAAGGAAGGAGGTGCCAGAAGACTAATACATACAGCCAGGGACACGGTTCCGGTACATCAGAAATCAGTTCCAGGGCACCACTCCAGGCTGTTCTAACTCCAAATGAGTGCTGTAAAACAAGTAATACATCAACTGTCTAAAATGCTTATCAGTGTCTGAAAATTGAGAAAGAACTGGAGAGCAAAATTTGCATATCACCTCATAACAATACCTTCTAATTTTGAGGGGGAAGCAATGGCAAAGATTATTTGAGAATTGTAGCTTTTAGTGTTATGAAAAAAGGGCCTGGTTTGATTCAGTGCTATACGATTTATTGCCACACCTGGCAATATAGGGCTAGGGAATTTTATGGGCAAGGAAATGCCACTTGATGCTTTTATAATTAAAAAGAACAATGTATAGATAGTTTACATGATGTGACAATTTTCTTTGTGAACATTTACTTAAAACCTTGTGCCAGGAACACTGAGGAGACTACATTCAAAATTAAAAAACATATTCCTTTGGACCCTCACTGCTATGCTCTAAATCATCCTGAAGAGTTCACAGAGACTAAGATAGGATTTTACATTCCCACCGCTCACCTCTATGAAATTATTAGAGGTAGAAAAGTTCTTTTTCAGAAACAGTAATGAGACCAAAGGTTTCTGAGCGTATATGTCCACGGAGGCTGATTTGCTCCAGGAAGATGAAATGTTTCACATATTTTATAATTGCATCTTAAAGCTGGAGGTTGAGAGGAAGTTAGCTACAGTAAGGGCGATACCTCCAAGTCAAGTCAAAAAAGCCAGGCTGAATTGTCCCAGTGGAACCTGCTTTGCACACAGCACCTTCAAAACTCCATCCCCAACTGTAATTGTTGAAACATAGCTACAAGATCTTTAGAAAATCTAACTGAATGTGCCAGAAAACCACATGCCACTGCTTAGGATCCAGTGACATAAGTACAATTTGCTACCATCCAAGTGCACAAATGCTATTTCCTTTGTCCTCTTGAATGAACCAAATTAAACAACAGAAACATTCTCTGATCACCACTAATCTAACTACCTATGAGTTTCTAGGTTTACCAATTGTTGTTTTCTTCTTACAGGACAGTTTCTCCTGAGCCATACATATTATTAGAGACAAAAGCAGCTTGATGTTGCTGCAGAAAATAAGTCTAGAAATAGAGTGTAACAATTAACGTAATTAATGTAAACGACTAGATGTGTTAAACTAAGACTTAAAAGAAAATTAGAATGTATGAGAATGAAGACTGTTTCAACTCCATTCTGCCTAGATACTTTGTGGGAAAGCAGATAATAGCAGAGTATTATTTAGATTTTTGAGCATCCTTTGCTAAAGTCCTTCTTGAAGAAAAGCTGGAAAAAAGAGGAAGCAAGTAAGAGGAGTGGTGCCTTTTTTTTTTTTTAATGTGGTCAGAAGATAATAACAATTTTGTGATTTTTTGTGCTCTTTAATTTATCTGTTAAAGACCTGAAAGAAGATACTCAGCCAATACTGTTATCCTTTGGATGTGCAACATAAAATAAGATTTCTGTTTAAAACAAGTCAGAGTAACTTGGAACTGTGAAATAACCCTCCACTATCAGCAGGAGGACAGCTATCTGAAGACAAGGATGTATCACACTGAAGAACTGCCATAACACAATTCTAAATCAACTTATTTAATTATGATATAAAAACCTAAGAACTACCTGGAGTAGATAAGACCAAGCTAGTGAACTCCTTAAATATATAAATGAAAGAAGAAATACCTGAAGAGGGAAAATGGACTCTTGAGAAAGCTGAACAGGCTGACTGGGAGAGGCAGAGTGCAAAGAAACACAATACTTACCTGATAAACTTGGAGAAGAAACATTTTTTTCTTCAGAGGGAATGCAAGACCTTGACCTGTTTATGTTCATTCTGTTTCTTCAAAGAACTTTTCAGTATCTTGCTTAGCTTTCTGTGAAGAGCAACAACTCATTGTGACACGATAACAATTTAATGCATTTAATTCAGCTTTTCTCTATTCCTTTGAACACTTAAATAACTTGTTTCTAAAATCAGTTTTATATTCCCCTAGGGAATTCCCTAGCCTGTTTGTCCCCAGAAGAGAGACACTCAAAAGAACAGATCACAAAAGAGTGGTTTCTAAAGGAAGGCACCCATTGAACTCTCATTTATCCTTGAAAGGCTAAGAAGGTCTGTTTCTGTGAGAAAAGTCAGAGAATTCACCACTTTACATGTACAGAACTAAAGCAAAGACAAAACAGTTTCTGCTATTACCTAAGCATTTTTTTAAATGTTATTCTGCATATACATCTACCAGAGACAGCACAGCACTGAAAGGAATGAAGATGTGGGCTTTTTTTTATATATATAAGCTCAGTTACATCACTTGCCTTTGCTGCATTAGCTTTCCTTTGCTGTTCTCTGTCTTGGTAAGCAGGCATGCAGAAGCAAGGCAGAGAATTCTTGTCCTGAGTATGCACAGGTTTAACAACATTGGGTTCTTAATCACTGGTCCTTTGGATGCTTCTGTAATGGCCATTATAACAGTGACAGACACTGGCACCTTCTGAGCAATTTTATGTCTGTGCTTACGATCGCTGCTTCTACAGAAGCGTAGGCAGTGTTGGACCAACCTCATACTTCTGCTATTGACAGAGGTGCTGTGGACTGTAAAGAACCTGAAACCAGAGTACTTATTAACAACATTAATTGTTTAGCCAAGACAGTGTTTTACCTGGACAGAACGTGGCCCTTAAAATTTTGCAGGTTTTGGGAAAAATCCAGATTAACTGAAGCAGTTTGAGCTGTTAGACAGAATTCATGCTTCTAATTTCTATAATTCACAGTAATAGGCCTCTTTAGGCTTTCAATTTTTGGCTAAATTCTTTTAATGAGACTCAAGTTGGATCTGTATAGGTCTCACATCTTAAAATATTTAAAAAAAAAACACACCATATAGACATCGTATTGATTTTAAGGAGAAAGAAAAAAAAAAAAAAAGCATTTGTTAAAACAACAAGCCCCAAAACTTGCATTAATATAACAAAAATGTAAACATTTGAAGGAGGGTATATATTATCCTAATGAAAATATCTTTTATATACTGTCAAAGCATCATCTTTCAGCTGGGTCTTCCTATTAGGATGATGGGGAGGTGTGCTGAAATGATAAGACTGTGGAGTTTACTCTGGATATATTAAGAATGCACACTGACCAAAAGCAATCAGTGAAGAATTTGACCAAACATTTAACTGACAATAAATCTTGAAAAGTTTGGCTAAGGAGGGATGTGCTTGGATGAAAAAGCGTGCATTCAATGCTGACTTTTGTGGAGGTCAATGGCAGAGAAATCTGTTTTTTAATGTCAGTTTTCAGAAAAGAAAATTATCTTAGTAAGCTGAAGAGCTGAGTGGAAAATTAGATCATCACAAAATCACAGCAGAGTCAAGATCTCTAGAGGTCCCTTCCAGCCTCTAGTCCAGCTCCATGTAGAATCATCTAGAGTCAGTTGCTCAGGACTTTGTCCAGTTCAGCTACGACAAGATGAATGAAAAAAATTTAACACCCAATTCCACAGTTATGCTAAATAATCAGTTACCTTGTGATCAATGCAGAAAATCAGAAAGAACTTATCAACAGGAGTAAAGCAATGCAAATCTTCAAGTTTAAGATCTGAAACCATGCTACTAAAAATCATTACAGTACTAACAACTAAATTTTCATGTTTCTCTTTGAAGGGTGTTTAAGAGCAGAGAATATCAAAGGGAACAGAAACATCAGGGAGTGAAATATGAAAAGGCAGAGACATTTAATTAGAAAAGAAGAATCAAAATGAGGAGATGAAAAGAAAAAGCCCAAGAAACACAAAAAATTATGATGGAGAGAAGTGTTACTTCCGAAATGATTTCTACTGGAAATATTAAAACTTAATGTAAGTTTTCTGAATGGCCCCTACAGCATTATTTGTAACTCATGGGCAGGGTTTTCTTAAGTCTTCAACATCTGACTTCATTCAGATTCCACTAAAACACAGACATTGTCTCAGCAACTCCAGACTAAAAGAAATTAGAGAAGACAAAACAAACACAGGCACTACTGAACCCTGATACCTGAAAACTCTGAAATTTGCAATACTTTTCTCAGGGTCTGCTTATGGCAGCACTGGCCTATTGAATTAGTGTATTATGTATATCAGTAGCAGACTACTTTCATTCTCATCAGACTGGAAAGGGCTCACTTGTTCTTAGTCATATATTATGTTTAGTTGCAACCTTATCCAGAGTGAGTAGAATATTTAATGAAAACATCCTGTCATTCAAACTGGGCATTGCTTAAAGATTCAGAGCACTGTCACAGTTTCTATTAACTAAGCACTTCTACAACAGCAAAAGGAGGTTGGCATTGGGATTGCTATTTCTATAAAGATTTCAGTGTTTATGCTTTTAATGATTCACTCTCCTAACTAAACAAAAGCAACTCTTGTCGAGGTTCACTTGCAATCATGAACACACAGAGCTGTATGTTAATATACTGGAGAACTCAGATAAAAGATAGTAATTTCTGTCAGTTTTGGTTTCACACTGTCAATGAATGGATTCCTGACTGCTCCTGCTGTACCCTACATCTTTGTTTTCCTTCCCATTTTGGTGATTATTTCAGATATCCTTGCATTAGCTCTGCAAAACTAGGTTGAATTCCACTGGTAAAAATTCAAAGAGAAACAATATTGAGAGCAATTCCCCTCCTTTCTTTTCCTACCAAGGCCCTCTGTATTTTGAGTTACTCTGATAGCTGAATTTGGATTCAATCCACTTAACTTCAGTAAATTCTGGATTATTTTTTTTTTCTTTCCCAGATCTACTGGCTTCCTCCACCCCGACTGAGATCACTATTACTACACATGTTCTCGTGCACTGGTAAATCACTTTTTATATCACAGTGCATATATTTTTGTATTGCCATAAACTAAAGGAAGACAGCCCAAGCCAGTCAGAAGACAAAGATAGCACAATCAATACAACAGTACACTATAGATCAACACTGCCTAGAGTTGCTGAGGCAGCTTTGCTGCTCCTACCTCTTTCCTTAACACAAGACACATTTGACTTTCTCTCATTTCTATCGTCAGCAACGATTTCTTCTTCTACTTTAATCATTTAAAAGAAAAGCTCTAATGCCTCCATCAACTCAGAACAAAAGAAAGCAGAGATAATCTGGCCACATTTGCTCTTCTCACAAGAAAGGCAGAAACCAAAGGTTACTTGCTGTGGAAGGACACAAGACAACTCCTGTGCAGGGCCTGGGATGATGCCAGTAGCAGTGCCCCTTCGCAGCAGCTGACTGAAGCCTAAGGATGGAAAAGGGACAAAGATGAACATGCCCTGATTGTCCCACACTTTACAGAAATATTTTACTATGTAACCTGCAAAGCGTTTTCTGTCCCAAGATAACATCCCTCTATGACTCCTCTACAGCAGCTGTAGGCAAACTTCATATATCCCATCCACAACTCCCAACCCACTAATAACACAAAATCACCTATATTAAACAATTTTTAAACTACTAGTCCTTTATTATCTCTAAGTCAGAATTAGCCAAGTGGAATCAGATAACTTGTTTTCCTAGTCCCCTGATAATGCTGGCTGTTACTGATATTGTACACAATATATTCTCCAGACAAAAGAAGGCAACCACTCTTCAGCACACATACCTTAGAATTAAACTTAGGATAAAACTGAGATGTAACAGTCCTCAATAACACCGTGTTACAGACATTGTTTGTAGCCATTAAATTATGTAGCCTGTCAGCAAATCTAACCTCAGCATTTCCTTTTATTCTATGATGCTTAAGTCAGCTCCTGTTAGTCAACATGCCTAAGATGTTTAGTGGGCATTTTTTTCAAAGCCCACTGTCCTTTTACTATATCAGGTAACTCTTTGCTTTCATCACCTAGGAAAGGATTTAAAAAAAAAAAAAAAAAGTAAGCAAGGATTGCTTTACGTGTATCACTCACATCCCACCTAGGATTTATCCTTTCCAGACCAGCTAGGTAATTATATGTTTAAATTCTCTTTCACCCACTCTTCCACAGAATTTATAAATCCTGCTCTCCTGGCTGTACCCCAGCAATACAGAACAGTAGTAGTCTCTACAGGTTTCATTGCACTTCTCTTTTGTAACTCATTCTGTCACTTACTCCTCTTGGCCATGCTCTGGAAGTGAATTTAGACTCAGCCACAGTAATCACCTCAGAGCCTGGGTGGTCTGAGCATCAAAACACAACTATGCATGGCTGTATGAGACAGGAAAAAAATATTTTTCTATTAATACATAAATGACTCTGTCCTGATCGTTATTAGTACCAAAGAATTTCACTCTTTGTCTGACAGCCAAAGCAGAAGTGACACCTCCATTTTTCCACTGTAACAATCCAATCATCAGCCTTACATTTTGACTGTTCCTGAAATGAGTTATTGCTCTGCATAAGTTAAGTAGGCTCCTGCTGTTGCTGTTTGTTAATTATTGTCAGTTTGTTTCTGGAAAAATATTGTGCTGTCCAACTATAAATGTATCAAAGAAGTATTTTACTAAGGTCTCCCCTTAGAATCAAATAATTTAATAAAGTAACAGACAGGAAGGATGAAAAAGAGCCCTTGGGGAGCTGATCAGCTTAGATAGAGCCAAGATCTTCACCAGTTTCAGCAGTTTAAAATTAGAACTTTCCAATTTTAAGGACGGCTGTACAATATTCTGAAATTTAGCACTTAATTGGAATTCCTTTTCCCAGGAGGCCAATTCCAGCCTGTTACTCTTTTTTCATACTACTGCTTTCTTTTAATAGGTCTAAATGTGCTCCTACTAAAAGCCTGGGCAAAACTCCAAAATGGTTCTAACAATGAAGATGTAGACAAAATAAGAAACACCTTTAAGCAACCAACACATTAAAAAAATTCTTTTTCCAAGAGATTCCTCTCTCTGATGTATTCTAAGATAAGGGATTAAGCTTGTTAGGTTTGGAAGATTCTTCACCATATTGCCTTTCAAAATATATGGGGGGGGGGGGGGGGGGGGGCAGGCAGAGAAAGGCAGAAGGGTTTAACTCAGAAGAAGCCTGAGATGGTAAGAAAGATGGAAGTACCATAATAGAAGTTATCACACATAAATACCCTTTCTAGAATTTTTACTATTGTAAACGTATAATTTCCCCACCATTTGTGCTTCTCCCTTTCCATTTCTTTCTTGCAGCACCTGATTCTCATTTTTCTTCGGTCAGTTCCTACACTCTTCCCTTCACACTCCATCTGTTTCTTTCCTAGGCTTGTTCATTGCCCTCTCTTCTCCACTTTTACCCTTTTTTGCCATCTTCTGCCATTTGATTATTCCCTTCTCAATCTGTGTTCCTCTAGTCATCCTCTTAACTGAAATTCAATACCCTTTCTGAACTGGAAAATAGACTTCCAAATGCATGGTATCTGGGTGGCTTTGAAGTTGGGCAGAAACACCTTCACATTTAGACAGTTCAGAGAGAGCATTATCATTTTGCACAGATAAGGCAGTGCTTTCAGTGGTGCCTACTGGCTTTGTTTTCCTTTACATTATCTAAATTAAACCATGCAGTAGGGAATGTCGGTGCGTGGAAATGATGTACACATTTGGAGTATGTTAAGTGATAGTATGAAAACAAAAATAAGGGAACATTGGCTTCTGGACACCCAAAGCCTCTGACTCAAGAGGGAGAATGGCTGATGTTCTCACACCATTGCTCCAAGGAGAGCCATCAATTCCTGGGATAGCAAGGTAGAAAGGAACATGGATAAGAGGAGGAATTGCCCAAATAAAACAAAAGATGAATTCAGTGCTTTTGCAAATAAAACTATTACAGTGCATGCAAATGTAAAAGAAAAGAAACTCCAAGGCAGAGCACAGAAAATGCCAAGCTAGAACTGACATAAGCCTGTAAGTGCAAACCACAGCATCCAACTTGATCACAGCTCCAAGATGCTCTGCCAAGAGCACCAGATTTCCTGCTTGAACCAGGAAACCGGGCAGAACTGTGGAAACCATGTATGCATGACTTACTGCTTTCCCTTTTCCATTTCTGGAGTTATCTGCTAGTACAGGTATTATGCTTTTGCATACCACGGAGGATTATCGCCTTCTCTCTCCACGCACTCTTCCCTTCCCACCAGTGAGAAACATTTCCTGAAATCCTGAGGCAGAAGATTTTTGCACTCTGATTCCGTCTATTGACATTTCTTATATTTCTTCCTGGAACAAAGAAAAACATAGTCCATATATTAGAACTTACACAATTTTTAAACAGTAATGTCTCTGAAGTGTAGCAGTATATTTTCAGCTTGCTGAGCACAGCTCTGCTCTTAAACCCTAGTTTGGACTGAGGTACGGATATACCCAAAGTGTCTCTGGCCTTTCAAAATATTTAAGTCAAGAAACTACTTGGCAGTTGTTTTGTCAGAGAAAAAAAAAAAACAACAACCCTTTACAGTTACTCCATCTCATTGTTTCACCTGGCAATTTCCCTTTTGACTTTGTTCCTTCTATCCTCCCACTCCCTAACCTGCCACTTCACAACTATCGCACATGAACTGTCTAAATTTAAAGCATCTGTCTATTACAAGCAAGGAAAATATATTGAAATTAATGTTTTGTTTGGGAAATTTGTTTTTGTCTGTGGTAACCAATTACAAAATCATCTCCAACAAAAATACCTACTTGTGTTTTCTCCATTAAAATCAGTTGTATATTCCTCCAATGCAGAATGTAATGAAATAAGTCAGAAGTATGAGCCTATGAATCATTTCCAGCATGCTGGCCTTTCTCCTTTATGGAATTAGTTAAAATAATTGTATTTATTGATTCCTTAAAGCCTTTTGGTAATAAATGGGCTAATTCTGTGCTATATCTTTCAGATTTTATTACAATGATGTAAAACATCTTCTTTTTTCCATTTTGGAATATTTGGGGATAGGCACTGAGTTAAGTACAAGAAAAGTAAAGAAAAAAAGAAGAAACAACTAAACAGAACACATCAATGCATAAAGCAGTTTTCTTGGCAATTTTTGTAGGGTAATTCTATTTAAACTGGTAATTGATCATATGCTATCCATACATGCTGCTTTTTAACAGTTAAGTGCATTTTAAAACAAATGCTATGGTCTCCAGTGACTTGCTGCTATACAAATCAAATCCTTGGCTGCTGGCTACAGGACAGGGAAATTCAAACCATGTGACAAGACCTTTTCTACATTTTATTGCTTTTTTTTTTTTTTTTTTTTACCTTGAGTTTACATTATGTACTTCTCTGAAGTACAACTTGCCTTAGTATAAGAACTGTGTTTTGTCATCAATAGAGTTCACCAATTTTTAAAATAATGTCACACATTTAATTTGATGAATTAGGATTGATGATAACTGGAATTACATATGAGTTAAGATGAGTAAAGAGTTCAACAGCACTGCATATTTGATAGACTCTCTTCATAAAACATAAGAAAACAGTAAGTATCGAAGTAATTGGTACATCTGTTAAGACACTCAGCTAGTCTACATCAAGAAAAATTCACTGACTTTAGTAGAGTGATGCTAGTATACATTGCTTGATTATTTACATCATCGTTTTTGCTATTTGGGAAATAATTGTTGCTGGGTTATTATTCTAGGTCTTTTATATGCTCATTTCTACAAAAATGCAAGAGTCCAATATTTTTCATCTTACTGTTATGCATTTTAATGTGACCTCGTAGCCTTCTACGAAGGCATCACTAGCTGGGTAGATGGGGGCAGAGCAGTGGATGTCATCTACCTTGACTTTGGCAAGGCTTTTGATACTGTCTCCCATGACATCCTGCTAGCAAAGCTGAGAAAGTGGGGGATAGATGAGTGGATGGCAAGATAGGTTGAGAACTGGCTGACTGGCCAAGCTCAGAGGGTGGTGATCCGTGGTGCAGAGTCTGGCTGGAGACCTGTGACTAGCGGTGTTCCCCAGGGGTCAGTGCTGGGTCCGGTCTTGTTCAACATCTTCATCGACAACCTTGGTGAGGGAATAGTGTCCACCCTCAGCAAGTACGCCAATGATATAAAGCTGGGAGGAGAGGCCAACATGCCAGAAGGCTGTGCTGCCATTCAGCGAAACCTGGACCGGCTGGAGAGATAGGTAGAAAGAAACAAAATGAGGTTTAATAAGAGCAAGTGTGGAGTCCTGCACCTGGGAAGGAACAACCACATGTATCAGTACAGGCTGGGGGAGGACCTGCTGGAAAGGAGCTCTGAGGAGAAGGACCCGGGGGTCCTGGTGGACGACAGGTTGACCATGAGCCAGGAGTGTGCCCTGGTTGCCAAGAGGGCCAATGGGATCCTGGCGTGCATTAAAAGGAACGTGGCCAGCAGGTCAAGGGAGGTGATCCCCTCCCTCTACTCTGCCCTGGTCAGGCCTCACCTGGAGTACTGTGTTCAGTTCTGGGCTCCCCGGCACGAAAAAGACAGGGATCTCCTGGAAAGAATCCAGTGGAGGGCAACAAAGATGGAGCATCTCCCCTGTGAGGAAAGGCTGAGAGACCTGGGTCTGCTCAGCCTGGAGAAATTAAGACTGAGAGGGGATCTCATCAATGTGTATAAATACCTGAGGTGGGGGGGACAGAGGAATTTGGCCAACCTCTTTTCAGTGGTTTGTGGGGACAGGACTAGGGGCAATGGCCACAAAATGGAGCACAGGAAGTTCCGCACCAACATGCGAAAGAACTTCTTCACGGTGAGGGTGACGGAGCACTGGAACAGGCTGCCCAGGGAGGTTGTGGAGTCTCCTTCTCTGGAGATATTTAAGGCCTGTGTGGATGCCTACCTGGGCAACCTGCTCTAGGCAACCTACTTTGGCAGGGGGGCTGGACCCAGTGATCTCTTGAGGTGCCTTCCAACCCCTACAGTTCTGTGATTCTGTGATTTCTCCAGCATTTTCCACTTTGCCTTTAAAAGAATATGACTGAAACAACACTGTAGCTGAGAGCAAAAGCATTTCTGCTAAAATACATCTTGACTTCAGCACAAGCTGAGATTATGCATCAGTGCTTGGAAGAAATTACTCTTGGCAGCTCCTGTAATATTTGGTACTGTTCCTAGCACCTCAGTGCCTGGGCTAATGTAATTAGAGGTCATGCAATCAGCAAAAGCACTTAGAAGAGAATGCACATGCTGCAGGTCAGACACAGAATGGACACCACAACTTTCTAAAGGCACAGGAAGGTAGATAGAACCATGTAGCTTTAATATCTTGCAGGGAAATCTCAGACTTCCATGTTAAATGCAGACATTTGAAATCTGGCCATGGAAAGTGAGTCAAAAGCCCACAAGTCTGAGCCCCATGTTGACACAACAGGAACTGCTGTCTGGACTGACAGATGACACTAGGAACTGGAGCTAATGCCTGTTTTCAAGAGATTTTCCTTGTATCTCACTGCTTATTTGGAGGAACAAACATGTAATCACTTACCTGAGGTACAGAGGCCTCACACCAAGGGCTCACATTATTACATGAAAGACCCAGGGAAAATAAGACAATTAGCTAAGCAATGTAAACACAGTTAGCATTCTAATTTCAAGTTCACTGCTGAAGGCTTAGCAAAGTAACCGAACAAACAAGGTGAAGAAGTTTAAGTTTGTGAAACTCTGCATTTAAAAGGCGTTGCAGGAGACAGAGCAACCAACCCCCAAACCCAGGGACTCACTGAAAGCAATTAGTTCAGCCAGCTGAAAAAAAAAAATAAATCTTTCACTCCCTCCATGTCCCAGAGCCTTTTCAACAGAGAGTCAGCATTGAGCAAGACTACTCAGAACTCTAGTCGCTCTAACAAAGAACACTGTGGTGCTCACAAGTCCTTATCTACCTGGCCTCAAATAATTCCCCAAGCCACCAACTAGCTGGTGGTTACAGAACTGAAGGAGGGCTGATCCTGTTAGAGTAGGTCAGCTGCCACTTTCTCAGAAGTCCTTCCAAGAAATAAGAGGGTACAACTGAGGCGAGTTAGCAGGAACATTACCTCCAGGAGATTTCTGTGAGAGAGCCAGACCGCTCTAAAGACTCCTGTAGAAATCACTACAGGAGATCCAAAATGACCATGGGAGATCTCAGGACTTCTAGTGGCTCTGAGTGTGAGGCTCTCAGTCTAGGACATTTTTTTCTCCTTGTGATTTTAAGTCTTGCTATAACTGCTCCTGAAAGCTTGTTCAAAATGAATACTAGAGATTATTGATGTTTGGTCAGAAGCAGGAAACCTCCTTCTCTGAAACTGACCGGCAGCATTAGGGGACTAGCCTGTAGATCGTATAGCTGAGGCGCAGGAATTTGAACAAAAAGTGTTCTTACTGGCAAAGCTCTTTTAATATACAAAGTCCCTGCTAGTGCTGTCCCATAACAAGTTCTCCTGCTAAGTCAGAGTGCTCGAAAGGAGATTGCCTCTGCCTGCAAGGAGATTTGCTGCAGTGCCCCTCAGGGAGCGTTTACTCCTCTTAGAAGGGCACATGAGTCATGTTTAAAGCTGTCATAAATTTGCTGTAACAAAATGGGATCCAGAAGGAACCGATTAATCACAAAATAAGCTTTATCGTAGAAAATATTGAACCATGAGTAACAGAGAAGTTTCCTTGGAGTCTGCATTTCTTCCCACCATCCAGACAGTTGAGCTACGTCATTCAGGAACAGCACTTAACTGAACTTCACCACACTGAAAAGACGATGACTTTCTGATTCTTATAATAACATATGCAACAGTGATTATTACTTTTTTTTTTTTTTTTAAAGAAAAAACAACTCCAAGCACTTAAACTTTTACCAACTTCCGGAAGATGAATCATCTCAAGGAAAATTACTGAAATTTAGAAGAGCAGCATCAGATGTCATAAGATTCCAAACACCACATCAAACTTACCCATCTAATCTTTTACTAAAAGTGATTTCTTGTTACCTTTAATGCTACTGTTATACAAGCATCTAACCACACAGCAAATTTTCTCATACCAATCAGAGCAAGGTTTACACTTATAAATACCGTTTCTTGAGGGAGCTGCCTGAAGACCTTTATAGGATAAGTAGACTTTTTCTGCAAAGTTGCTCTTTTTCAGGTTTGACCAGCTCCCTAGTTGCTACTTTTGCATCTGTTTTTCATCTAAAAATAAAATTAGGGAAACGTACTTTGATTAAAACTGTATTATCAAAAATACTGTGGCTTTTACAAAATCTCCTTGTTTATAAATTAGCATTATTTAAGTATACACAGAATAACTCATTAAAAACCAACAACTTTATTTTCACAGTGATTGCCTTTTCATATCTAATGATTTCTCAAAATAAAATAAAATAAAATCTGCTTGTTTGGCAACACTTAAAATATCTGCCCCTTGAATTTCTCCTTATACCTTTCCTAATAAGGTCAAAGATGTGTTGAGAAGTTGCTTTGGATCTCCTCATGCAAGTTAGAAGCAAATCTGCAATAATTCCTAAAATTCACTGTATTACACTATATACTGTCTTCGTTTTGCTCACTGTCCAGTGATATATGCTGAGAAGTCTGTATGAAGTAAAGGCATTCAAGGTCAATTCATGCAAAGTGTATTATAAGAAATGAATGAACAAACACAAACTGTCTGAGCAACAGTAAGGTTTCAAAAGCACCATGTGTGAGCCGAACACTGATCTCACTGGCTTAAATGAGAGGAAGACTAGGCTGAGGTTGAGTGCTTTGGAAATCCCACCCATACTTCTTTACCATGACATCCAAATTTTGTGGGAAAAATGTATCACAAATGCCTATCAAAACAAGAATAAAAGAATACATTCCATGTTACAAGGATGTAAGGAAAGGGATTTTTAAGTCTGAAAAGAAATAGGCATAACATAAATTTGGTTACCCAGATTGGAAAAAGAGTCAGATTTTTGTTTGTTTGTAATTGGTATTGTTTTTAAATGATGGATTCTGGAGAATATTAGAATTCATACCTGAATCTATGCTGAAAGTATTTTTGTAATCTGAAAGCCAAAAATATCTTACTGCCAAGACCTGTAAAATGCTTTAAAAAAAAAAAAAAAAAAAAGAGAGAGAGAGAGAGAGAGAGAGAGAGAGAAAGAATGAAAGAAAAAAGAAAAAGCACCTTCCAAATGGAATTCACAATTCCCATGGGTAGGTGATCATCAGCTCCAATTAGTCCCTGGCAAAGGAGTCTGAGCAAGAGTGATAGACTCGATGCATCCAAAAATGTTTAGTCTAGACTAAACCACGCTGGAATTCTCCACAGACTAGACCTCAGCCCTCTGAATCCTGGACAGCCATCTATATTGGCTGCAAACAACAACACAGCCTGGATCCTATTCCAGGCTTCACTCCCCCTCTCCCTATCTAGTCTTGCTGCTATTCTCCACGCCCCCCCTCCCACCTTCTTAGGATGTCCAGGCAACAAGCTAAAAAGCTGTTGACTGTTGCAAGTATTGTAAGCCTGGTTAATGAGTATAGGTAATTCTCTCCTCTAATCATCTGTACAGTAAGCACGTGAGCCAAACTCAAAATAATAAAACCAGAAAAACATGTTCATCTGCTAGACAGCAGCCAGAATTGACTGTTGCCAAAAAGAAAAGAGGCTGGAGCTGCTCTTTATAAAATTTTGTCAGCACAATTAATTCTGAAATATGCTCTGAAAATGTGGAACATGGCCCATATGTCACAGCTTCTCTTGTGTATTTCAAGTCTTATTGAGAGGTTCTGCATATAAACTCAGTGCTTTCATCTACAAACCTTGCTTTCCCATGCAAAGGATTCAGCCAGTAGTTAAGAATTTCCTCCTTTCTCAAACTGTGGAGTAAGGGCAGTTTCCTGAACAGAAATGATCCCCCTTAAGTGAAGAAATCTTTTACTGCCATCCTTTCAGTGACACACTTCTCAAGGACACCCTTGTGGCTCTGCAGATCCACAGAGGACTTGCTTTCAGCTCTGCAGGACCAGGCAGGCTCCTAATCACTTCCAGTTTAGGGCAGCTGTGGCTGAACAAGAAGTCAAGTTAGTCTCTCGGACTCCTCAGAGCACAGTAACACAGTCTACTTTCTACCTTTCCTTACTTGGCATCTCAGTGATAGATTTTTCTCCTTAGTCTGATGTCTACCTGCAGCAACAATGAGATAATGGTGAAGATTTTTTTTTCTTTATGCTAGAAATTGGCCACTGGCATTAGCAAAGGTGATCTGGCATAAACAGCGTATTTCCATTTGAGTCAGGAACAGTTTGCCTGTTCCTCCAGCAAAGCAAAGAAGTGACAAGCACATGTGAGTACACAAAGTAAATAACAGTTTTTTAGTCATGCTGCTTGAATCACACCAGACACAGCTCCAAGTTTTCCAGTGCATTCTCCCATGATCCCAAGTCCAACTTAATGATCACCAAACTTTCCAGAAGTTCAGAGCTTGATTCAGGTCCAGATCTGAAATCTACAGCAGAAGCCCATCATCACCAAGTTTTCCTAAAAGAAAAGCCTACATTAACTTATTCTTCTTACTTAATTCTTACTTCTGCAGGCACTTAAAATTTCAGAAATGAAAGGAGCAGAAACATAAAGAATTAGATCATCTTGTCATCCATTCCCTGCATTTTTGTTATGAAGGGCCATCCTGGCTGACTGTCCAAAAGCATTCAAAATAACCTGAAAAAGAGGAGAGTGCAGAGAAAGGACATCTGGAAGGCAGAAAGGAAGAGTAGCTTCAAAATGCAGCTTTTGGTAAAGCTCACATTCAAAACATCCAAAATGCAAAGGAAGAATGAACTTTTCCCTGTGCTGGTCTAGCCAGCTGTAGAGAGAAGACTTCTCAGCCAGCTATTCAGGCGTGCTCAGTCCCATGTAAATAGTAGAACTACATCCAGCAGGAGGTATGGAGCAAGGAGCTTTCTGGAAAGCCACTGAAATGCCTACATGTTCACTGGAAATCTAACAAGTCCTTTGTGAACAAACCCAACAGAACAGTAGGAAAAAGAGCTCATTATTTCCTTTCCACTGAGATCAACCAGGTAGGTAAAACAGAACGGACAATTAGATCAGGCTGAGATATATGACTGACTCCAAACAAAGGACCTGGGGAGAACTGAGGGGTCTGGGAGCCAAATCTGCCAACCAAAATACCCAGAGACGAGCTGCTATCTAGCTTTTATCTACACCTACTCAGGACTGAGGAAGTTAATTTTCCTGTAAATTCCAAGAACGACCCAGTCTGATAAATAATCCCAGACTGGTGCTTTACACATCAGCAAGACTGTGCACTTCACAAAAAGCAATGGTCAGAACCTTCTTGAAAAAGGATGGAAGGAAGGAGTAACAGCCAATATCACAAATTATACAACAGGAATAATCACTTAAATACCTGGTCAGCAGGCTGGTGGTTTTAACAGGAGTATTAGGTCAGCACTGAGCATTTTGGATTTTTTCCTTTGTGAGGCAACTGACAACATATTCGTTGGATACACATAATTAATTGTACCTGCACTATCCATGAATGTCATCTGTGATGATTTTCCAAGATTTTACATTAAAGGAATCAGATTTTACAATATAAACTAAAGTATCAGTAGGTTCTTAACAGTCTATATCTTTAAAGGAGCACAAACATTAGCTCTTACAAATGGGAGCTTTACATTTTCAGAAATAAACTAAACTGTTCTAAGCACTACTGTAACACTTTATTTATATCCACACTAAAGAAGCAATGAAAATAGTGTGGTTTTAGACAGACCAAATTTCAAAGCTACGTAAAATAAAACAAAACTAAACCACCGCACAAGAACAGCATTATGACCACAGTCTTATGAAAGAGCTTTGAGACTGAATAGGTGAAACTGCCTTTAACGAAAACAAACCAGTTGTGGTGATAGTAGCATAATGCTGCATGTCATTCTTGACCTGATTTCCTTAGGCTACTTTCATTCTGCTGAAACATTCTGGATTGAATTACACCGAATAGAAATTATTCTTATTTACACACAGGTGAAATCTATTTATAAATCAGCAGAGTCTGGGGGTAAGACAATGCAGAGCTTTCTGAAAGAATCCATTTGTTTTTTAAATGGCACTTTTTTAACATATGAGGATATCTAATGTATAAAATATTTCTTTAACATGATTAGTATTAAAGTATATGCTTGCACACTGAATGTGAGCATTTTGAGAAGTTCAGTACTCCTATGCTATTCTAAGCTTTTCAAATTGAGACTCTGATTAATTATAGAAGTCGCAGGAAAACAAGCCTGAATCCAATTTCGGAATGTTAAATGGATGCATTGACTTAGCTTACAGGAGGCATTTAACAGCTCATGTGAAAAAAGATGGTACCAGGTGGACCCAGAGGAATCACAGTTAAACAAGCAGCCATCTCTAATTACAGTATCACAGCAGTTACCCACCATTTTCTCTAGTGAAGCCAGACCAGATGTGTAGAGGAATTCTCCTGAGATTTCAGAGTCCTTGCTGGAAAAAAATACATCTTGAAACAATCAGACAAAGGACTACAACTCTGATGTAAAGATAACTATTGGCAAATTAAGTGTATTAGTTAAACAAACTTTCCTAAGGAAACAATATTTAGTTTGCTTAGACTTAAATGCTTATCCACTCACCCCAAGCCAGAACAGACAGCTTCTATAGATTAGCAGTTACCACATTTTTTAGGATAGGCTCTGACTTCTTTTTTGTACTAGCACTGTTCCCTGCCTTCTGCTCGCACCTACACTCACATAACCCATGGCTGGCCTTAAGCTTCTAAAACATCAGTTACCAACGTATGACTACTTAAAATGTCAAACAAATAAACAAACAACAAACAAACAAACAAACAAAGCAAATGACCCTCTGCACCACTTTCTTTTCAAGCTGTCCTTGCCCAACTTCCCATCCTGTGTACTGGGAAGAAAATACTACACTTCTCATGGCTGCCTGAGAAGAAAGGACTTTTCAAGAGGGAGACAGAAAAGCTGGGAAGGGGAGGACACAGGCCAGCTGGAATTCCCCTGGAGCTCTCCAGCCTCCTCTGCAGCCTCTCTCCTCCTTTTCTCCATAAACTCTTCCCACTCTGTCCAGGGCTCTCCAGTTCTTCCCTCTCTAGCTGTTTCAGAAATGGATAGAGTCCCTTAAAATTTGTATGCAAATTAGTGTACACATTAAAAATGATACTGGTATCCACAGTGCAGTACTGAAGTTGCACAGAAGACACTTTTCTAAATGTATTTTTCATCCACGTGCTCCTCCCATTTGAAAACATTCAATAGCTGCCACTATAACGACAACGGAGTTGTGCCTAAATAGTCACACGTTCATTCATACAGTATCTTGTGCTTCATAGTTCTAGAAATAATACAGGTTACAGATAATCTTTTCATGTATATAAAGACTCCATTCAACATGTTTTGCTTTATGGCTGCTGCAATAGGGACAGGGCGTCAGGAAAGGCTGTTTTCACTATAGGCTAGGCGACCTTGGACAGGTCATTAAATTTGTGCACCTCACTTATCTGCCTATAAATGGAGAGACTTCTACCAAACTCAAAGAGACCTTTGTGAGACTGCTACATAGCTACTAAATATAATATTAGTGTTATTGAATTGAAAGGATAAGAAGAGATCAATTTGCACATAAATCCTCCAAGCTCTCTACAACAGCATCAATCCTGAAGATGTACACAGAGTTCAAATAATTTAACAGCTGGAACCCACGTCAGCCAGAAAAGCCAAACCAAAATGGCAAAAAGCTCTTTTGAAGTCCAATGGAATTTAGGAAACCAGAAAGGCTACTCCTGTTATGCTTCCAAGTCTGTCAAAACCAGGAATTGTTCGAAATCCTGTTCACCAGTAATTTCCAGAATGATTTCTCACTGAATAGATTTATGTAAGTCTAATCCAGAGTGAATTCCTAAATTATAGCTTTATAATATATATATAACAAAAATAAAAATAGCTTGAAATTTGCCAAAAGCTTTAGAATTGCATTTTCCATGAGGCAGCCTGAACACCCAGAACATCATGAATGACTGTTGTTGTGAAACATTTAGAAACTTAAATTAAGATTTGCTGAAACTGGTCACATATTATTTAGTGAGGTTTCATGATTGGGTGGATCTATGCATTGCTACAAGGAATGACAAGAGTCACATTTATCAAACAGCACAGTACTACAGCAGAAGGTTTTTTTATGGAGGTTTTCTTTTTTAAACATGTATCCACATACACCATACAAGGAACATCACCGGGATTTACCAGTGAAGAAATGATCATAGATTCTCTCATATTTTTTGGACTAACATTTCCTAATGAAGATAACTATTTACCTTTCCCTTCAGGTTTTCTTATGATAACATCTGTGTCATTCACACAGGCCTTGGAAGGGCCTTATTAGCTTCTTTGAACTTAAGACTTGCATGAATTTTCATCTTTCAGGACTGTAACTTCACCTATCTTCTTTACTAATATTCAGTATAGTCTAGGCCTAGTATATTCTCTAGCAAAGAGGCTGCAACATCATTTCCTATATGTGTATCTTGAGAACAAGGCAAGATTGCTGGAACAATCATGTGAGATAACCCGAATAGCGTATTGTCTAGGTCTAAGAGCTGATATTCTTTTTTTTTTTCCTGAAGGGAGAAGTCACTCAACAACTCTTTTTGTAAAAGAACTAATTTCCATATTTTTGTATATATTTATTTTAATATGCCTGGCATGGAGCATAAAAAATTAAAAATTGGATTTTCTCTATAGCCCTGGCACAGCTTTTTTTGTCCTAGCTCTGATTCAGAGCTACCACAGTCAGACAGCCTACATGCAGACAATGACATTAACTGTCTTATTTCAATAATATTTCCAAACATACAGAAACAAACAAACAAACAAAAAAACACGCAGATGAAGAGCCTTTCTCCCCTCTTCATCTCGTACAGAAACATTCTTGCTGCGAGGTTTGGATAAATGCCAGTTCTTTTTGATTAAAAACACAACCACTGACAACAACAAAAGAACTTTTAAAAGAAGAACTGTTATCTGACTATAGCTAGCAACACACTGCATGCTAAACATTCTGGAATTGTACATCGTAGTAGCTCTGCTATCTGATCTTTGTAGGTGATATTTTTGTGTCAACAATGTAGAAAGTGGGGATTAAAGTATAGCTTCTTTTTTTTTTTTTTTTCTCACCAAGGATTCTCAGAATGGTATGCTTATCTAGCTATTTCTCCAAACTTCACATAAGCTTTCATTGCATTAAAAAATGAGAAGTCTCTTCTTGTATTTTCAAATATCTGTATTTTCTTACACAAAAGAAAACAAAAAGCTAAGGTGCTACTAGTTTAAAGTTGATTGTGGAGAGTCTCAATATATCCCAAACTGTGCAGTGAAACCAGTGTTTTAAGTCCTTTGTTTTTGACTTCAGGCAGTCTGGGCTTTTAAACAAAGAATTGTGACTTTAATACGTAACCATTAAAGGATCCATATTTTCATGGGAATCAAATGAGAGAGCTGCTGAAAGCTCTTGTCTGATTATTCAGATCTAACTGCACAGCTATGGAATATCATCCCTTCCCAAACTAGCACATCTAGTCTTATTTTCTGATGCAAAATTCAATAAGAACTGACATGAGGGGTTCTGTCCTTGGGAAGATTAATGGAACTGACTGGTAGGAAGCAATAGCTGGTCATGATTTCTTCTACTTTCACTATGATTCTGATTTATTTTACTATTCCTAGTACTAGATATTCAAATCAACATTACTCAACAGCACGCACCCAAGAAAAAAACATTTCCTTTTTAAGAGCTGAGCAAGGTGAAATCTGTCAGTTTTTCTAACAATGTCTTCTACAAGATATAAATCAAACAGGGAAGAGTGACACCCAATGGATAGATGTATGAAGGAACTACCATTCTGGACCACATTCCATTTCCTTTCAGTGTGTTTTAGATAGCTCTTCATTCTAAAACTACAACTCCAAACAACTGGTTTAATAAACAGATTAAATATTTTGAAGTCTAGCACATGTTGATCAAATCTTACTCTGCTGCTGGATAAAACATTAAAAGTTTGATTTCTAATACAGCCCCCCCCAGTATTATCGTGAAATCCATTGCTAGCAAAAGATGATAAAGATACTATGGGGGAAGAGACAACACCTGTTTTGTACCTGTTTGATGTGTTCAGCTTACAAGGACACATTAACAAGATGTAATTTAAAATAAAGCAACCTTAGAGTGGCACTTCTATGCAGATGGCAACACAGCTACGTTCAGTCAAAAAAACCTTGATGTAGATTTTGTCTAGAGACAACATCCTTGGCATTGTTAACATCCCTGGTATCAGCAGGGGGATTAGTTCAGTAACTACATCCTAAACAAAATTATGTCTGGAGATGCTTACCACCAAAAAAGAACATGCAGTTCTTTATTTGCATTTTTTTAAAGACAGATCATAATATTAAGTTCCTCATGCCTGAAGGCGCTTTAAAGTTCAAGCTGATGCTTATAAAACTTGGCAGATTTACACCTCTGAAACCTGGCGCCTTGCAATGTGACAGCATGAACTTGACCCTTGCTGCTGCTGTACCCTACGCTACATTCACCAGACAAGGAGGGGAGGGAGGGTAGATAACATTACAAGCCCAGTTATCTGTCTCTTTTTCTCTCTTCCAACTGCCAAACACAATGGGTGATTTCCATGATGTGGATACTCTATCATTAGGAAAACATCTTAAAGCTTCAAACAAATTTCACAAGACCACAAATATCTATCACTAGCTATCACTGCAGATAGAACAAGAAGTCACTGCCGATGAAGGTCTTGGGCTTCCCATTCACTTCAGTGACTTCTGAGTAAGATTCTGAACTTTCCTTCAAACAATGACAGGCTCACGCAGCGTAGCCATTAAATTTCTTAATATATTTAAAGTATTTCCAGGGCTGAGGTTTATGGCTAGTTTAAAGCAGGCTGCAGACTCCTGATGACTCCTGCGATGCGGACCACATTGTTGTCAACATGTAAATATAAACCACAGTATCTGAACATCATTATACTGAGTATAATATATATACAGGTTTGCATCTTGCAGCATACATCTGTATCTCCTTGAATGTATGGCTGATTGAAATGACTATTCATTGCAGTAAACAATGATTAATTCATTTAGAGCTGAATCTTGACCATGCCATTTTAGCAGCTGAACAGAGCTGCCTATTACGTGCATGACAGGTACCCACACAGCAGGCTTGTCTGAGCTGGAGCACAACTTAATCTTAAGACTGTAAGACAGAGAAAAAACATCCCTCTTATGGTGAACCATTCCAACAGTCATCAAAACATCAATAAGGATGCAAACTATCTGTGAATAAGAAGCTGCCAGACTGAAGTCTCACTCACTCCCTTCTCTGATAGACTATTTCATTATTCCATATAGAAACCCAACAGAAATGGCATGTAACCTGTGCTTCATGCCAACACGGTTTTCTGTTTCCTTTTACTGCTGTGGAAACGCCAAACTACTAGGAAGTCTGTAGCCAAGCATCTCTTTCAATGCACTGAAATATAAAGCTCCCTCCTGTCTGAGAGTCATCTGCCATGCATATGGATTCCTAACATACAGTGCCTCCAAAAATTAGTGCCAGATTCCATGCAATAAACACTCCCAGATGCAGAAGGCTCAGGTGATACCATAAGAAATGAGAAGGAAACAAATGAAGAAGCCCACTGATGCCTCTTCATTAACAAATCTAGCAAAACGACACACACAGGATAGCCTTAAACTACTACAGACCAATGCAGTGATGCAATTAACAGCTTTGCAACTGTGCACGCTATGTTTGTCAACACACAGCTAACTGTTTATCTCATGGATGCCAAGGGAAAATCCTGATAGCATTTTTTTTAATGTTATTTGCACCACAGAAATGTCAGTTCACTTAGAAACTGGCTGATAATAAGAAATGAGATTTCTGACTGCCATGTAAACAGCAAGTCATGGATTTTATTTTATGTGAGTTAAAAAAAAGTGGAGCTTTTTGTTTCTTCTGTTCTGTTTAAATCTATTCTGTAGTTTATAGGGTGCCTTAGCAGGAAAAAGGTCAGAGAAAATAAGATTTAATTCAGGGAACTGGTTCGTTCTCAGAGAGCATTTTACAGAATGGAGCAGCAAAAAAAATTAATAGTTATTCTCAAAAGACAACGATGTAATATGCTTGCACTTACTGATGAGTATCTCAAGAATCTAATCCTTTAGGAGGAAAAAATATTTTTTTTCTTGCTAAACTTAAGTGGTTATTAAGCACTATGGGATCCATCACTCAAAATTATATTTTTCACACTGATTTTGCTTCATTTAAAGCAAAGAATGAAAAGTATTTAATCTCTGTTGGACTAAATAACCTCATTTATTGTAAAATTTCCCAAGTTCATCAGCAAACTTCTTAACCCATATCTATCACAATGCTAGTGAAAGCACTAACTCTTGCAAAACTACAATGCACTGGCCAAGAGGTAACCCAGTTTGCTCATATGCCTTTGCTTCAACCTTGAAGACCACGTCTGAATACTTACTAAGGGAGCAAGTACTTCCTATCATGTCATATTTCCCAACAACTCAAAGTTTATTTCACAAAGTATGAGCCTACCATATGGATTCCCTGTAAGAGAAGGACTTAATTTACAACAAGCCAGTGGAGATGAAATCAGAGTTCCTTATATTTTGTTGTTGCAAAAGGTAAGAAAAAGGCATCCATGCAGGATTCACTTACGACTCAGAAATGGTCCTGGGGACAAGTCTCTTCCAACAACCTTCCCTAAGTTCTCCTGTGTTCTAGTAAAGGGCCTGAGATTCTTTGACAGGGTTTAGCCATCAGTTCTTCCATAAGACAGCTCAAATACATGTTTGAGTTCAAGCACACATACATATTTTTTAACCTAAACAGGACACTTCCAACCATGCAGTATTTTTTGGCTTGTTTCCAGAAAAAAACACTACCAGTCCATCCATACTCCTATTCCCACTCTTCTTTTGAACCTCCTGGTTCAGCTCATTCAAATTGAGAGGTGGAATCAAGGTCTCAAAGTTGTAATATATTTCATAAAAATTAACAGCTGATACAGCAGAGACCCTATTAACTCCCCAAGAAAAGCAAATCTGGGTATTTTTTATTCTGCATGACACTCACCAATAAGCCAGTTGGCAAGTGATAGTTTCCAGATAAGCTATAGCATATGCCATCTCTCACTTAGATGGTAGTGCAAAACAGATCATCAGATGTTGAAAAGGAGCAAAGTGGTAGGATATTGGTATGAGAAAAAGCAGGTGAGAGGGCAGAATGGCCATGCAGAATTTTGAGGATAAGCTGTGGGTTTTGCAGTGCTGGAACAATATGGGTAAACTGAAAAAGGGAAAATGTGGTGGGAGGGAGCTGTGAGGGACCACTGCATGTGTATGTCCAGATAATATTGGATACAAACCTTTATGAAATCAGGACTCATTAGCTTTGCTGCTCATTAACAACTTGTTTTGTATGGCAATTGAACACAGACTCAAAACTGTCCTCACCCATTATCTTCTACTGTTTATAAATATCAATCATTAAAAAATGTCTTAGTTAACCTTTGCAAGTTTTCCCCATTTTTATGTAAACAAGACTCCCCAGCTGGTCTCTTGATCACTTAGGACAGCAAAAAAAGACAGACAGGGTATGAAACAAGCACTGAGATCTTACAAGTGCAATTCTACTAAACAAAACAGGTGCTAAAAAAAGAGTATTTGGTGGCTTCCTGTCTATGGAGTTTCTTGCAAGCTGAGATGATCAAACTGAATACAAACCAAATTTGTGTCCAACTACCAGGTCCTCAAACCACGGACTCAAATCCTCATGTTTGATTCCTAAAGGAAAAAACAAAGGAAACTAATAATCACACCTTCCAGTAATGCTAACTGCAAGCCCAGTGCTTTCACAGTACCCTCACAGTAACTCCTGAACAACTGCGGTTCTCTGGTGGGTTGGAGAGGTGCACCTGTCTGGAACTTTCTAATAATTCAGACGCAAGCCCTCAAGAAAAATTACAAACAAGATCACATTACTCCTACTTAAATTATGTGAATAAAATCAGTATTTTTGTCTGAACCGGAGATACCTTCAAGGCTTAGGTAAGTGCAGTTGCACTTCGCAACTCCCTGTATGTTAAAGCTGATCTTCACTCTAAGTGAGTTCCACAATGATTTTTATTTTTTATTTTTCAAAGTATAACAACTTAGGGCTTTCTTGCTGGTTTCCTTTAAAGGCAGATTCTTGCCTATGTCAACAGAACTTGACTATCTTTTGTCTTCTTTTCAGTTTTAATATTTTTGAAGAAGGTTACGCAAGCGAACAAACAAAAGCCACACCAAAACCACTGTGATCTGCTTCCCCATGTAAACAAGGCAAATTCTGTAAGTTTTCAAGATAGCCACTTTAGCAGAGCAATCAGAACTACTGAAAAAAAAAAAAAAAAAAGAAAAAACGAAAAGGAAAAAAAAAAAGAAAAAACACACCACTTAACTGTAAGTAACAGCTAAACAGTAAGAATGGGGAAGGAATCATTTGCACACCACTGCAGTTGCCAACCAAAAGCAAGAACACTGTGCTAGACTGCGAAGTACTGTGGTGAGACATAAATTTACACCCAGAACATGGGTTACACCAAGTTTATCCCTTAAGTGCTATACCTGACAAACGATATACATTTGCTCAGCACAGGCCTCTGCCCTGCCAGGTGAGGTTTCACAGGATTTCTATAAGAAGCAGCGCTCACCAAAGCCTTAGCGCCAGAACAAGTTGTTCTGTGTTTCTGCAGCTCTTCATTCATTTCAGGGGAATGACTTCTGATTTCAAAGAAAGTGAAGAATCAGGTTTGAATCTGTTTGATTTGCTCCTATAAATGCTGGCAGACAAAAATACTAGAATACCTGCAGAAGCACTCATCTCCCTAAAACTGGGACACTTCCAAGCCATTGTGTTCATTCAAAAGATATTCTTAATGTTCCCATTTGGAACCCAAAAAGACAGGCAAATATGTTCCATAATTGTAAAATGCTGAAGTTTCAGTACTGAGTGACTAAGGCACATTGGAAAAGTTTACAAATGAAACCAATTCTGCTCAGGTTTGCTAGCCATGCTTCCACACTGCTACCTTCTCCAAGAACTTCAACACATGGTAATGGAAGGAGATGAAGGAAAAACAACCTTGACCAAATTCAAAAAGCAATAAAAGAAGCTCCATTTTAACTATGTAATACCTGGAAAATATGCTTTATACTGGTATTTGACACAAACAGCTGTGACAATTAAGTGTTTGCTTATAGTTATGCAAATGCAGAAGTGCCATCCTGACTACTGATGCTTTTGAGAAAAAAGGTGAGCAATATATTGCCAGCATGGACAAAAACACCATACATGCACACACTCATCTGCCTTATTAAATTATTGCTGTACTCATCTCTGTGGAGTTGAGGCTTTCTAGGCCTAAAGCTTACAACAAAGATCAAAACAATTCTCCTTCCTCTTCTCCTGACAATTATGTAAGAAAGCAGCCAGCACATTGCATTGCATCTCATTCCAGAAGAACTTCTGTCTCCCAAAATATGAGATCCACAAAGCACTTCTCTCTCTTTGAATGAAATGGCAGATCAGAAAAGATCATCACAGCGTTCCCTTTCAGCCTCTTTTACTAAAAATGGTAAAGAGTAACTATGCAGGCTTCTTGGGTATGTTAGTCAGTGATGAGAAGAAAAAATAGTAGTCATTTCCTCACAGCCTCCACTCAAACCCTGATGTGATTTTAAGCCTGTAGCTTCCTATTCTCCCCAGACAGGTATGTCTGTACTGTTAGTAGAACCATTTCCCTTATAGTTTGGAGGATATTCAAATTCAGGAAAAACAAACCAGTTCTAGATTTCTAGTTATGATACTACTAAATTTGAATTTACTTTTGATTTCTAAAAAAAGACAAACTTACTGCTGTTAAATTTATGTTCAGATACTGTTAATACCAAGAAAACCCTCTTATCTGAAAAAAAAAAAAAGATAGTTACTTTCTTAACTGAAAAATAAAGTAACAATTTAAAAGCAAACTAAGTGCTTTCAAACAGCGATGTCTTTTTTTGTTGTTGTTGTTTGTTGGAGAAAACATCAATTAATGACAGTATACGCATAAAAACAAACAATAATAACAGGCTTTTCAAGGTAACCTGACTTAAAGTTCTGGCAGTTTAATCTAAATCAGTACTGTGTCCTAGAGCTTAAAAATGTGATTTTAAATAAGTTTCAGAAAACACAGTATACAAATATACTCTTAATTTTTTGGCTCTAGTCTTGCAAGCATTCATGCATATTCATGAATTTGTATGCATGGATAAATCACTCAATTCAAACCATCAGCCTGTGCAGAAGTCAGGAACTGCTCCATCAAAATGGAAATGATTGTTTAAGAGAATATCTTTCGGGCAGTTAAGATTGTGGAAAAGCATCATTGTGAATTATGTGACGGGCAGGAGTCATGATCAAGCACTGCAAAGCCCAAGTCTGTACATGTCGCTTAACAAGGGAAACTTGTCTGTGGTGTGAGTAAGATTTAGCTGCAATAAATATGTGGAGTTCAGTTGCTTATCTTAGGTTGTCCAGACTTTAATAGCCTGGAAATACATAAACCAGTTTTGCAAGTTTTCAAGTGAAAATTCCAGTACTGGTTGTGTTTCAGCCTGGCTGGCAATCTCTCCAATACAGATTCTTTTATCTGTTTTAATAGCTTGAGTTTCAGCTGAAATCTGGAATTTTAAAAGCATATACAGACTTCTTAAATTTCTGATTTAAAATCATAAAGCACTTGTATTTGGGTGTGATTATAGTGGTGACAAGAAACAAACAAAACTCATCTATTTACCAGTACTTGTTCCTGTCCCTATTTCTTTCCTTCCAACCTATGCTTCAAGACAGACATATTTCTTTACCTTAACACTGTAGTGTTAGTTCCTACTATAAATACTTTCAACAAGCTGAAAATATATCATACTCCAAGACCTATCAACAGAACGACAATACTTTGAATACAGGTCTAATATAAACTGACAGAGCATTCTACGTTAAAATTTTTTAAGTATCCTTAATGACAAAAATAAAAATTCCGCAAAATAGGATTCTAGTGGGTCAGAAGAAATGATTTCCAAATGATATGCTATCGTATTAAAATAATTAATTCTAATAACATACTTACCATACACCCTCCGTAGATTATAGACTGGTCAAACCGAAAGCTCTCATTTTCTTTCCTTCTGCTTAGATGCAGAGTTTCTTGTGAAGTGATTTCTGGTCAACAGAAGAAGTATTGTATATAAACTGATGCAAGAAATGTGATGAACTGAGGGAGTTCTTTACATACTTCTTGTACGCTCTTTTTGGTATTGGGCTCTTTCTTTCTGTGCAGAAGCGAAGTTCACAGTGAAGGAGATTTTTATTACATTTGCTGTAGGGATAACATTAAGGTGTTTGGGTTTTGATGTTTATCCATTTAAATAAAGCATTCTCACAGAGGATACCATTTTTCATTTTGAAACCTAAGCAGACAACAATTAAGAACAAAGGAAGATTTTCTGTTGCTAATCAGAGAGGAGTAGGAGAGAAAAAGCCATCCGGGGAAAAAAAAAGGAAAAAAAAAAAAAAGGCAGCATTAAAGTGCTTAGGGTAAACAGTGAATAAACCTATTTTACAAAATTAAACTGCAACTGGGGCAACTCTCACCTACCTGAGGCAATCTAGCAGGTAAGGCACAAGGAAAGAGGGAGGCACAAAACAGGACAACGTGGGCTTGAGTATTCGGAAGCAAACAAGATAAAATCATTACAGAGGGCTTATATTACAAAATCTATATGGCAAAGACTGTTTACATTCCTGAATATAATGCCCAGATTAAAAATACCAACTGTTAAAGAAACTGATGATCCTAGAGAGAAGAATTAGTGTTTTCTAATAGCCATTGATTTGAAGAGAATTTTAAAGGGGTGCTGCACTTATATGAAAGTAGAGATACTCATATGGCACAAAAATGTTATTGGCTGGGCCAGAAGGGCTTCTTCAGCAATAACAAATGCTTGGCAGCAAACAGCGATGAACTACTCCAGGCATCAAGATGTAACTGTTAGCACATGCAACTGGGACAACCAGCACTTCCTACTGTATGTGAAAGGTTCTGCTTGGAAGGTGTTGCTCTTGCTTTCTTTTTGAGACATACTGTCCTGAATTTTGAGTTTAGTACAGGCAACCATCCTCAGAATGCTCTGCCCCTACTTGAAATACTTGTTGAGAATAAAGGTTTTCAAGAGATTTGGTTTAAAGATGTGGCAATGAACACCACACTGGAAATTAAGGGTTACAACTCATTTTTAAAAACCTGAATCTTATTTAGCTGTCCTACGTAAGCCCATTTGAAAATCCTGGAACCAACAACAGATGCCTAAAGCTCTTGCAAATGCCAGCACATAATGCTGGTTTGGCAGAACTGCAGGCAAACAATGTGAATTCAGGTCTTTCCCCAAGCTGCACAAGAAAGAAGGAAACTTGTGTTTGTTTACTTTTTTTAAGTTTTTGTTTTGTTTTGTTTCCCTTTACTGCTGATACCTAGATTTTAGAAATCTAAAAGTGCATACCCAAAGATCCGATTGCTGAAAGGAGAGCAAACTCCACTGTCTGTTCTTACACTGGCAGTTAGTAGAAACAATTCTAACAATGAGGACATAGCAGCACAGACTTCACTGTGGTGCCTCCAGCACTTCAATCCCACCTGTACTTGCAGTGCAGGTACATGTATAGCCCAGGACCTTGCAGTACACAGACAAAAATCTTCTGGAAGTTAACCCTCTTTTCTGCTGTCACAAATTGCCTGGAGGGCCTGGCTTGACTCCTTTACTGAATGACATCTAGCAAGATACCCAAGAACAGGTATAGTGAAGGGAGACAGGAGAAACAATACTTTTTCCTCTTCCTTTCATTTGAATCCTAAAAATGCTATATTTAAGCAATGGAATCAGTATCTCAGCTTGATTTTATTAAGATTTTAACATTATTTATATTTTATTAAAACAAGCATCTGAACTATTCCCCCTCAGGTGTCAGAATTGCTATGTTTTCTAAGTTGTCAATATCCAGCGTGGCATTTCTGGAGTAGTTCCAATAAAACCTCAATTTCACTGGACAAAATCTCCTCAGGAAGAAATGAATTCCTGCCCACAGCTGAGCCTTAGCTAAGACTTAGATCCTACACTGCATTTGTTTGTTTCATGTTCTAATAATTAATAACCTGATGTTTTGGTTTAGAAACCAAAACACCAGAAAGCTGCAAATCATAAGGAAGAATACACTTTGTGATGCTGATTTGTCCTTAACTTTTCTCTTTTACCACTCTTCTGCCCATTTGTCAAACGGTAAGGTGCCTTCCAACTTCAGAGCGTACACATATCTCCTTTGGCCCTGCAAACTCCTTCCACTGCTTACTGAGCTTGCAGCAGAGTTGGAGGCATTGAACAGTGCTGAGATTTAAAACCACATATCCAGAGATAAGCCTAGTATCTTCCAAACAAAAAGCACTGGTTTCCAAGAGAGGCCGCTGCCTCAGTATCACAGCTTTAATCTTTGAAAATTAAGATCTTGTTAAGTACTAGGGACCAGGCAGATTCCTAGGATTTTCATCTATAAATTGATTTTGGTTTTACTTTAATTTTGATAATACTTTAAGACTGCAAGGACAAAGGAATATTAGACTATCTTTCAAGAATTATTTTTTACAGGGTTAATTCTACAGCAAAGATGTTGAAGGACTTATTCTTTGTTATACACTTCCCATATGCAAAATTAGTTAGGGATAATTATAAAAATAATAACCTTTGCCTTAGCTAAAGAGTGTCAATGAAAAGTACACCAATGAAAAAGCTTAGTAAGTGAAACGCCATAGTAACTGGCTTTGCTTTTAGAATTACAAAGTTGGCTTAGTGGACAAATCAAGAGACGCATAACATTTTTAATGGTGAAATGCCTACAGCACCAGTAGCAGCTGAATCAACTTACCTATCCACAACTCAAACAGGCAGATTTGCCCATTTTATGCCTGCCACCAAGAGCAATGGCTTCCATTAGAGCCAGCAAAGGGTCCATGCCCATTCTTCACCCACTGTGAATGCAGTCATTAGAAAATAATATAGAATTATAAAATCAATGAGAATGGTGCTACAGATGCTGAATAACAGTATCAAGCTCAAAGATTTTAATGTTTCTGGTGTGCAAGCCAAGCTACTGGGTAGAAGACTAAGGCCTTACCAACCTATTCACAACCACAGATGGACTCAGGGTCATATGCAGAACGTATTTCAAGGGCTGATACACATCTCCCAGAAATTCCTTTTTGGTCCTCTATAAAGATCTGTATGGTCATCACATCTCAGCCCCTCCTAATGGTGTCTTTTCAGCATATAACATAAAGAATGGCAGTCATTATCACTATGTGAGTAATTTTGCTTGTATTCTTCCCCAGTAGAAAAATTATATTTGACTTATTGGGTTTGACTGCATTGCAACATCCATGAGAAAACAAACAAACAAACAAACAACAACAACAAAACCTGTATGTTTTTACCATATAAAATACATCGCAGGGAATTTTCATCTCTTGAACATTTCTGAACCCTCTACCCAGTGGTCACCTCATGTTGGCTAATACCTCAATGCAAGAGCAGAACAGTTTCACATCTTTATGTGCAGCAATAAGTTCACAGGAGAGGATATACATTCCTTAATTTGCTAACGGCCCATAATGCTTTCTTACTTGGCAAATTTTCTTCTTTCTCTGTGTTCTTACATTTACAAGGAGAATGATTGCTTTTTGCTTAAGCAAAGTCCAGCAGACTATACATTGACTAAACCATTCACACTCAGCTGAAGCCTTCTGCAACGTTTTCTCCTCCCCAGGACAGTGTTTGCCACTGCTGAGATATGATAATAATAATAATAATAATAATAATAATAATAATAATAATAATAATAATAATAATAATAATAATAATAATAATGTATTGCATTGGAATGTAAAAATAAACTACCTCCTAAACTTATAGCATAGAAAAGTTACTATCAGGGCATGCACTTCCCCTGTTTCTCTCATCTCTTCAAGACCTCAAGATTTTGGAATGATTTCAACAACAAACATTGTAATAATGAAGTTGTCATACTGCAGAAGGAGAACCACTGAACTGATATGATAATGCTTACTCTCCTGTGGACTACTAAGATTATTACCAGAAGAATTTCTAATTATGTTGACAATATTCAGAGGTCACATAATATTAAGATATCGGCATTATTTTTCCTTTATAATTTCAACCATCCAAAAACAAGCACGTGGCCAGTCTCACATGACTCATAATTTGTCAGTTTTGACTAGTCCATGAACAAATTTAGGACAAACACATACACCTACGCTCTTCAGGGTACACTGAGAGATGAAAATCACAGACTGTGCTTTATTTCATGATTCATGAAAAAGAGGTCAGTAGGAAAATAGAGTACTTTTTGACTCAGACTCTTCAAAAATCCATCAGCAACCAAAGATGTCCTGCAACACAGAATCCAAGTATTGTCTTTATTGCAGAAATATGAATTAGTAGTCTTAACTGACCAGGCAAAACAGTGCATTTCAACACAACAGCTAAAATCTTACTGTACCTTTGGAAAAAAATGTTTCAGCTTCAGACTTACTGGCCAGCTCCTTTCATCTCTGACCCAGAAGGCACAATTCCACGACGTGGTAGCTTCCAGAAAAAACTGCAGAAGCGATAAATCAGTCCATCAGGATTCCAGGAAAACACATTTTACTCAGTAAAATGCACCTTTTGCAAGCCTTCATTTAAAGTACGAAGCTGTCCCCTTTGAAAATATGTAGTATATACAAGTTATGCATGCATGCACCAAAAGAAGCGTTCAGAGGAACTTGCCAAATTGCACTAGAAAATACATCTGACGTAATTACTGAGCAAAGCCATCTTAAATTAATCTTAGCAGCATAGTGCGTAGAATACATCCAGTGTCTTCTCTGTGCGTAACCCTTCCACCTGCTTCTCATCTATCAGGGACTCTGTGTGTATTTGACAGTATAGGAAAGAATGAAGAGCAGCCAATGCAGGCCTTGTTTTCAGCTATCTTGGCAATCACAGCAAAAACCAAGACCTCAAGAAATGTTCCTTTGTTACAATTTGAGGACCACTATTCATCTGTAAAGCAGAAGATGGAGTATGCAATAATCTCAGAATCTGTTTTACAAATCTATTCTTGCATATGTGAGCACCAAACAAAGTAGCAAAACAAAAATAATAAATTAACATTAAATGAAAAAAAACTCAATATAAGCATTTTCAAGATCTGAGTCAAGGAAATATGGAGTGTAAGAGACCAAACCTAGCCTTCTCACCCCATTGCATGCATGGCTCTCCCTAAAAAGCTGTCTGTTCATCTGGTGAGCCCACGGCTCAGCTCAATTGCAGCAGTGGATGTGGCAGAGCTATACGCTCCCACTTACCCACTGTGAGGCTGGGGGAAGAAGCAGGAAACTCATGTGGAACAACTGATCCTAAAGCCAGAGCTGCCCAGTATAACCTCCCTAAAAAAGCTTCGCCTGAAGTCATGATATGGCTCCAGGGCGTTCCTCTGGTCAGGAATGCTACAGAAATTCTACATAATCTGCCCCTTGTGCTTTAGAAGAGCCAACCTTCTCAACTCACATCCACTCCAAAAGGAAGTCTTGACTCCCACGTGATTTCACAGCTATAAAGCAACAAAATCACTGGCATAAATTTGATTGACGAGTAAAAAATCGTCTCTGTTAAGCAATGGGGCCCTTTAGACCAAGAGGTTAGCAGGACTATCCACTCACAAGTAAGCACTCAGCACTGTAGGTGCAATTTTCCACTGGAATACAGGTATTGTGTCCTCAGGGAGTAAAAGGAGCCTAATACACATCTTACGTGGTGCCTGGCAGCTGCTAGAAAGCACACAAGTATCAACTCTCTCTGATGCAAATAGTTAGAGAGCACAGAAGGAAATGTAAATAAACAATCCTTGAAAAGCTACCCTAAATGCAGCAAAAAATTATATCTATATATTTTATGCAGAAACTGGTGCCAATCCACAAGAGTTTCCCTTTCAGCAATTGCCAGGATAAATTTCCCCTTTGGGCAGACTGTCTGAAATCCGAGCCCATCATGAATGAGAATGTGCAGCTTTACTTTAGAGCACACTGAAAAGAAAAAAAGAAAAAAACACAAAAAAACAGAATTCTGTCCAGGGAAATTAATCATTCTCAGCACCTTTGCAGATACAGTCTATCCCTTTAGCGCTGACCTACATACTGTGCAGACTATGTTTCAAAACAATCTGACATTTAAATCAAATCTGCCTAACTTCCCGCTCCCTCCCTTCATTCCCAGCGCATGAATGACCGATTGACCGGCTGCCCTTCGAACAACGTTACTTAGCAGGGCTCCAGGACACTCAGAGTCTCCTCTGGATTTTCTGCACCACAGTTAGGATTGTCCTGAACTGGAAACTGTAGCTATCCAGCATGAAGTTTCAGACACACAGGACCTCTGTCCAGAGAGAACTCCTTGACTTCTGATCAAGCAGAAGTAGTCTGCTAGCCATCTATTTTAAATAAATAAATAAATAAAATTCTGCCATTGGTGTTTTTCTTTACATAGACTGAATCCCAAACCATTTACCAGGCACAATTGATACTAAAAGACAGTTAATTTCAGAAGGTGTCTTATAACAAGCTGTGTAGTACCTTTTTTGAAAGCCCGTTTCTACTAATTTCAATTTAACTTATGCGAAGGACACTCACTTTCAAAAGATTAAAAAGCATTGGCTATACTTTACAAAACATTCACTTAGGAAGATACTTACAGCTAAATAACTGTCATTAATATCAGATGAATGCAGCACTGCCCAAGCCCAATTCTAATGAACAGGACTGCAGGATCAGTGCGGTTGAAATGGACCAATGCAGGTCATCCAGTCTCTGCTCAAAGGTGGATCAACTAGAGCCTGTAGCTCAGGACCACGTGCAGTCAGGTTTTGAACCATGCATTAGGGTGGAGACTCCACACTCTTGAAGCAAGCGGTTGTGAGAATGCTCAACATCATTTTTTATTTGTTTAAACAGAATTTTATGTATCTCGCTTTGCACCTCCATCACCGTGCTGGTGATGCTATTCCTAAAACAGCCCAAGATACTTCTTTGCTGCAAGTGTGCATTGCTGACTTAAGCGTAACTTGTTTTCATTACAAATTACCATGGAGATCAATGGAAGATATTAGGCAGGCTCTAATAAAACACATTCTGTTCACTTTTTGATAGAATTTATCAGTGTGATTTTGAATTGGCCCATTTTTTAGGGATACTGTGTCCCTATTTCAACTGGGGAGACACCACTGAAAGCCTCAGTCCTTCAAGCTTTGAGATTCTGAAGTGGGATCTCTAAAACAGAGATCCAAAAATAAGTTGCTCCTCCTAAAATACTGTATGATTACTCTTCAGTTTCATTGTAATAGTCTAACAGGTACTCATCACAGGGCCAAAAAAACCTTCACAAAGAGGAAACTAGATACCAAGTGAAGCAGAGATACAACCTTATTTTCCAAAATCATTCTAGTTACATAAAATAATAACCACATAGAGTACGTTAAGTAAGAAGAGGTTGATCCAGTTACATTTTCACCAGATAAAAACTGCACAAGTACAAGGAATATTGCTAGTAGTCTGGAATTAGCTGCATCGATCACTTCTGTAGCTTGTGCCATGCTGTACTCATCTTATTAAAGTGCTATTCCCTGTAGAGAAATCAGATCTATACACTGGATTCTATTAGTTGTGAATGTATTATGGTGGTGCGCACACACTCATGATTTTTGGTTTGCTAAAATTGTGTTATTCCTGCAAAAGCTCTGCATTAAATACCTCCAGTAACCATTTCCAGACCCCTTGGAGGAATACTGCTCCAGTTATCTCACCCACACCTCAGACAGAGACTACACCACTTCCCTTCTGTGTACAGCCCTGCATTTGTGCCTGAGAAGCGAAGGGGGTGAATGAGTCCCGTAGCCATGTACCACTCACCACCCAGACATTTTCTCTCTGCCACTTGGACAGCAGCCACCACATGAACCAGTCTCCCTTTCCAGCTGTTTGGGGGTTTCTGGGAACAAAGCCATCCACACCACACTTGCCACCTGCATGGGTGGGCTAAGGAAGACATACCCTGTGCCTTTTTTTTTCTTACTTCCTGCTGATCTTTAGGCAGTCTTAATTTATCTAACTAAAAGCTACTGCTACTGAGGCTTCTGGTATGAATTTCAAGTGAGGGACCATACCAGATGAGCCAGGCGTTCCTGCAAGGTGAGTCCACACACTTCAGCATGAGCTTAATTGGGCCAAATAACAAACTCAGGCTAACACTCAAAACAATGGTGCCATACCTACCTGCTTTTGTACAGCTTCCTTCAGAACAGGACTTGTGCAGAGAACTTCACCATGAAGCATAAAACTACTGCAAAACAAGAACAAATTTTCTGGTTAAACCAAAGCAGACATGATTAAGAAAACCTTTCCTGATGAACAGTAATAACTAGAAGATAACAGGCACAGACCCAGGTTAACTAAACTAACAGAATGGCTGTTCTTGATTTCAGAGAATGGCAAGTATCAGCAGGTTTTGTTTTTTATTTTCAACTTTTCAAACTAACACATAAAAAAGGCTACTGCTTTAAAAAGCAAACACTATGCCTTAAGTGTTTTTTTTAACAGTAACAGTGAAGCAGAACAAGCCTCAGTAATTTCTGTTCCAAACCAGCACATAACAGTACTTACAGCTCTGGTTATACCCACATATAGGGATGATATATCACAGCACATGAAGAGTCTTCTTTCATCTAGGAGTCTCTATGAATCGGACAGTAAAATTTAATATATTTATGTTTTAATACATGCCCACATGCAATGTGAAACAAATATCATCCTAGCAACAAGAAAAGCACAGAATTAGTAGGGAGAAAGGCACAGTCCTGGTAAATCACTTCTTTCTCCTTTCAAATAGTTAACTCCAAAATGTATAAAACTGAAGCACATAAAAATGGCATGTAGCAAACAGTAAAACATAATGGAAGTTTAACTGTTAAATGAATAATAACTCCAGCCAATGTGGCTATGATTTCATGCTTTTCCACTGTAAAAAAGAGGAATCTGTCCACATTTCATAACTCCAGAGGGAATGAGTTCCACATTTTCAGGATTGCACAGAGTAGGAAGCGAGTCACCCCCTCACTTGAGGCACTCATCACTGCAAGGAAAAACTAGTGTGCCACAGCTGCACTCCACCAGACTGCTTAAGATAGTGGCAACTTGGGAAATAGGAAAAAGTCACACCATGCCACGGAGTTAGGTCTAATGAAGAATATCTTTTCCAAAACACTTGTGCAGAAGTTGAATACAGCATTTCATGCCACGGCATAAATTATGGCTCTGCTTTTGGTTTTCCAGAAGTGCCAGATGAAGCAACCCATATTATCATGGCTTAGATGCTCTTTTTTGCAGCCTCTTCACAGTGTAAATCCAGCTACTAGGCAACCACAAGTTAAACCTGATGAAGGAGTTGATCCGGCTGAAATATTTTCCATGAACTTCTGTGAGGAGATGCAAGGAGACTGCAGGAACAAGAAAGAGAAGACACAGTGATGCCACTACCTGCTTTCCTAGCAATGCTCCCAAATATTTGCATGCTCTTAGTGACACGAGGCTTGCTCAGAACAGCCAGGTCAATGCCATTTTTGGCTCTGGAGGCACACAGCTCTATCAACATGGTACTACAGGGAACTAGAGGTCCAAAACCAGTTACCCTCCTTTCTGCTTTTATTACATTTTGTCATAGAAACACCTGTCTGCACTGGAAGTGAACAATATCCACTTCTCACACCCCATTAAGCAGGACAGAAAGATGTATTGATGAAACTAAGACCTCGGAGAGATTTTGTGCTTCAATACATTTTAGTATCCTGCCAGCTCTTTTCACATGGGCAATGTGCTAAGGAAAGGATTTGCTCTAAATGACCATCAATGTCATTATTCAGAGAGAGAAGAGAATTCACAAATCTGGAGCCTGTGCCAATTGCTCCAGTCACCCAGACTCTCTCTCTCAGTTATAATTTTATTGTTCTTCTTTTTCTTCTGTTTTATTATACCACTGCTTTTGAATTTACTATGGAAAAATGCCTGTTCCTTTACTTTTAACTTTCAGAGATAACTGCTTAAAGGGTGAATTTTGCTTTATCCCAGGAGACTGTGTCCTTTCTTGTCCTCTAGCCTTCCACAAAAGGAAAGCATTAACTGAAGTCCTAGCAGTCAGACCAAGAGCAATGCTTTGGGAAAGCTATTTCATTCCTTTTGTTTAACTACTATTAAAAAAATGTGTGGTACACTCCATCTGCAGTCCCACAAGAAGTTGGTTTATTTGTTACTCTCTTCCAGATTTAGTAGAATGAAGAACATCTCTGTGGCAGCACAGTGTTATAAATCGGGAGATTTAGGGGGGTGAAAACACATGACTGCATAGACCTAGTGCATATCACAGATTCCTGAGTTGCTCAGTGAACATTTCAGAGAGCCACACCACTAGACCTTGATAAAAAGGATCTGCTGCAAAAAATGCTGCTAGTTGTGCAGACAGTGACCAAGCAGATAAAGCCTGAAAAGTATGATGTGCTATGTGTAACGTGTTCTATTAAATAACCTAGGATGAAAGCATAATAAAATTAATTTCTATAAAACTTTATGATTTTAATAGTTTCAGTTACTAAGTTCAGTTTTCTGGAGACTTGGCAGCCTTTCCTGGAATAGAGGCTGTGACATCTGAAACCTCTTTTGTTTCTTTTTTTTTTTTTTTTTTTTAAAAAAACATAGCTATTTGCAATTATTAATGAATACTGGCCAAAGATGATACTTAAAATTAACCCTGAGATCCTGGGACTGTCTGATGATCAAAAACCAAAGCAGAGTGCTTCAGGCTTCCAGACAGAGTACCATCTAATCCTGTTTTAATAACTGGATTTCACTGTATTAACATATTACATTGCATCAACCTATCGATTGCTAACAGACTCCAAGAGCACAACAGAAAGGATTTCTACTCCAATATTTCACAGGAATTTTCCACAGGCTTTATCAAAACATTTGTGTTTTCATTCTAGTGGCATCTGCACTCATATCTTTCTTTAATTACAAATTACCTGCTCTTTGCAGAGAGTCCAAGCACTTTTGACCTCACAAATGCAGAGCATTTTGATTAAAAAAAAAAATAAAAAAAATAAAAATACACAGTGCTTCTACTTTTTTTTTTTTTCCCCAGCAGTTCAGATGTCTGGAACAACTGCACATTCTAACACTTTCGAAAGGAGATTCTGCCTCATGTAATAGCTAAAGGAATGTTCCACTGTCATTGCTGGGGAGGATGCAGATGGCTTTAATGCATTAAAAAAAAAGATATAAAAAATGATTTTTGATGTTTTTTGATGAAGTCACCTAAAAAACTCATGTTTGTGTTTGTGTTTTAATCTGCAGGCAATGCAGTTGTGCCTAAGCTACTTATAGCAGATCTCCCCAGCAGCAAAAGGGACCAAATGTTACCTGGATTGTAACCAATAGAAACCCATTAAGAAACTGAGTTTTTAGCAAGGAAATTTTTGTTTTCCTAAGCCCTTCTTTAGTCAACAATGTCAAATAGGAGGTTAAAAGTGTTTTCAAGTATGCCATTAAGATTCACAGAACACTGTAATCAGCTCAGCAGAGCATTCAGTGACTTGCTGCAAATGGCAAATCCTCAGGTATCGCAATACAGGTCACGCAGCTCAGGAAGCCAGACTTGAGGGAACTGAGTACAAGGCTGGATTCAGCCCACATGTGGGCCAGATTCAGCAAGGGCTCAAGGGTTGAGATAAGGACAGGGAGATCGCTCAACAATTATCGTGACAGGCAAAACAGACTCAGAGTAGGGAGATAGGAAGATTTATTGCCTATTACTAACAAGCTAGAAAAGTAAGAAACAAAGGAAAGAAACCAAAAATGCCTTCCCTCCATCTACTGTGGTCTCCTCCACGGGCTGCAGCATGGAACCCTGCTCCACTGTGGTACACCATGGGCTGCAGGGGGACAATCTGCTTCATCATGGTCCTCACCACAGGCCACAAGGGAACCTCTGCTCTGGTGCCTGGAGCACCCCTCCCCTTCCTTCTTCACTGACCTTGGTGCCTACAAGGCTATTCCTCTCTCTCTCCCAGCTGCTGTTCCCAGCACTTTTTTCCCCTGTCTTAAATATGCTCTCACAGAGGTGCTAACAACATTGCTTACTGGCCCAGCTCTGGCCAGCGGCAGGGCCCTTACCTAACACGGGGCAGCTTCTGGATTCTTCTCACAGAAGCCACCCCTATGGCCTCCTGCTACCAAAAGCTTGCCACATACACCCACTACATTAAGTGCTGCCTACAAAGGAGAGGAGGTGAGAAGCCTGCAGTTTCCATCCTCCTTGAAAACTGTAGTCTCAGCATCCTACTTGGAGGAGCTTCTACACTCTATCTCTTGTCCTTGGCCTCTGGTATGAGCAGTACATTGAATCTTTGGATTTTTTTCTTCATAATCATGTTACATGAAAAAGAAATGACTAATTTGATAATCTTGTGCAGCATGGAGACAAAAACAACTCAGAAAGACTAGTCACAGGGCTTCAAGTCTTCTACAAGCACTGGAAAATGCTTTTCAACATCCCACAAAAGACAAATAAAGAAGGACCAAAAGCTGTAAATATAACGTTTTAAAGTCTTATTTTCTTTATAGCTCACCTAAAAGGGCAATCACAACAATAAAACAGAAAATAATATAGAAATCTTTATCCTATAGAATCCTGCGAATCTTGTGGGCACGCCTTTGTTTACTCAACACCATAAAATTTACTACATAGGCCATGTGTTGGCAACCATTCAGGGAGCACCTTTGCTAAATGTTCTAAAGTTATGAGGAGGTACTGGGTCTGAGAGTAACAGCAGCATGCATGAGAGAGGGGTAGACAGTGCCACATTCCATATTTGATCTGCCATTCAAGTTCCTGGTTCATGTTAGAGAAAAGCAGGACTGCTGACAGCTCACATGTTCGCAATACTTTTGATAAAAAGGGCCTTTTAGCGAGTAGCTGGGGATGTGGTTTTAGCAAAGACAAGCAACATATTTGTTAACTGGAAGCTAACATGTCTCTCTAACATGGTTCTTCGTACTCAGAAACAAACCTCCTTCAGGTTACCCAGTCCAAATAAAATACAAATAAATAGACTGCTGTGCAGAAGTCTCTCCCAAGTGTAGCAAAAAAAAAAAAAACTCAAAGGTTTTGGAGGCAGGGATATGAGATTGAGACTATACTAGGCATAGGCTACATAATCCAGCAAGGACAGTAATAACATCACTATGGGGCACGCCTTCTGGCTGGCACAGAGAGTGCTATGCTGACCTCTATACAACTTTGTGCACTAGCATCCAACTACTGGCTGCTTTGGACTTGGACACACAAAAACTTGATTCTGTAGCCCCCCAAAAGAACTCACCACTTCACTGGGATTTTGCTTTTTGTAAGAAATGTGCAAAGTCTCCCAATGTCACTCTGTGGCTTTATGGAAAATTATTTATTCTCTTTGTGAACAGCCAGTCTGAATTTCTTAAGAAGCAAAGAAACAGATTATTTATATTAACTTGCAAATAAGCGCCATTAACCACCTGAAGACATAATGTGAGTGCAATTACTAAGAAGCAACCAACTTCATCTCCCTCAGGTCCTGAAAGATTTTTGAAGATCCCCCCCCACCAGCTCACAGCTCTGATCTAGCTCCATGACAGCTCACAACTAAAAGGCACTCTTTGACATAGTGCCAGGTGTGTGCGGGTAAAACAGAGAGATATCAACAGAACTGGAATTAGCTCTGCTACGATTTTCCTCTAATTTCCAGCAATAAGATCAGGCCCTGTACTACTTGGCAAGGTGTGTTTCTGGGCACTGTGTGCCAAAGCATGGTGCCACCTGAGCTGGTCCTGTATTAGCTGTTACAAAAATATCATTATCATATTTTCCAGCTTTACTATAGCTGATTCTAAGAGCAGCTAAGTTTCCACATGACACAAATTATATTTTTTGTCTATATATTGCCAGTCCTTGCAAACTGTACAATTGACAGCGTAAGTATTTAAGCAACTTAGAAAGGCATTATTTGCTGTAAATCGTTTAATGTTTTACGTCAGGTAATATACAAGTAGTTTGCATGGAAGAAGCTTGTATTTCCTATAGCTGAAGGCTGACAAGTAAATTACTATTTATAAATTGACAAGAGGCATTCTTCCTATGTATCTGAGGAAAATCAGTACAATATAAAGACCAATCCCATAATACAAACTATTGATACATGCCCAGCCTATATTGGAGCTGACCAAAAAATGAACATATATACCTCATTTCTGTCAGTTTGTGTCTTCAAGTTGCCTTTCATAACTTATTCCATACGCCCAAATCAAGTGAACATGCTGAGAAATATGAGAAAATAGAAAGGAAATTCAGCCTCAAAGAAACAGAAACAAACTTTCCTATCAGACTCACATATGAGTATTGTAGTGTTTTGCT